GGAAGCTTTGTGAATACAGGCCCAGAAGTGCAGTCAACTGCTCTGCCCTCAGATGCATCTGGGATGAACCATCAGGTCTCTTGGAAAGAATGAATGGAAAGGACCATCTAGACCGTTACCAGCGACAGGTCCAAAAGCCAGGGTCTGTCATTGTTGTGGCTGCGGATGAGTGCGCTCCCAGCACCTCGTCTGCCTGCCCTAGGTTCCATCAACAGCTCCGCCCCGACAGGTGCTGGAGCGCACTCCTGGTGGCGAGGCACACCTGCTCCCAATCAGTTATGTGAATAGGAATGTAACATCACACCTGGTAAATGCTTTACTGTCCCAACTTTTTTGGAATGTGTTGCCGGCATCAGAATTGAAGTGAGTGTTTATTTTGTACAAAGAATGAAATTGATGAGGTTATCACATCAAATAATGTGCTTCTGTATTTTCAATATAATATAGGACACAGATAATTTACACATCACTATTTTCAGTTTCAATTTTGATTTATATACTATCCCAACTTTCTCTGATTTGGGGTTGTATTTGAAAATGTGAGCTCTTTTCATCACCGGGTCTGTTGTGCTGCTACTGGGTCACCACTGAGTGACTTCCGGCTGGAGTTCATTCTGTGCTGAAGTGATTCTGCTGGTTTTAAACCATGTAGGGACACGTTATCTCTATGGCCCAGAAAGACCACCAATATCTCTATTTTTTCTGAATACAACCCAACACAAGCGCACAGGAATACACAGACAGCACACACACACACACACACACACACACACACAGACTGGGCATTCAAGACTGCAACCTACAGAGACACTGACACTCACAGTGAGCGAGCAACACACAAATTCATACTCTCTTCACAGGCACACAAACAAATCAATCTACACACTTTTTAAGGACTAATGTATGCATTCACACTCTCTTCACAAAGTACCTCACAGGCAGGGACCCCACCAGAGCTGAACGAGAAATACATTTCAAAAAGAGATGGTTGGGTAAGAACACCAAACTGCACCACACTATCACTTCACAGCTTGTGAGGAAAATACACGTAGCTCCCTTGAGTGAAAATGAGCCTCATCTCCAGTACAGTATTAGTTTATTTTGGCTACACGCTCAGCAGTGTCCCCCTGTGGCCACTGGGAGTATTGCAAGTCACTGCATCTGTTGTACAGTATATGGCACTATTAATAAATGAAGGAGGTTGTGTAAAGGGTGAGGATTAAAGCCTGTTTAATTTTGAATCAGAAGAAGACAGACAACCATCTTAAACACTGCATTCTAGCTATGTTATATTTTGTTGTGGAAAAATATTTTAAAGCGCAGTGAGTGTAAAATAAATACTTATCAGTTCTGCACATTACATATTTTTTTTCCTGCAGGAAGGAGGTTTCTCTGAACAGAGTGTCTAATACAGTCTGTTACAGGGAAGCTCAATGAACAGAGTGTGACAGCCCTTCTTATACTCAGCATACAACAAAGACAGATGCTCAAACAGATCAAGGAAACAGGATACAATTCATAACAGGATACCAGCCCTTTGGTCCCAGATCACATCTAGTTTGGCAACCACAAGGACATACAAAGGTTTATGACCATGCAAAAAATGAATGCATACAATGACAAGAAAGCCACAGCTAAAGAACTTGTTAGGTATTTTTAGTCAGATAGAAATTGGATAGATACTTTATGTATTAGAAATGTTTAGTGGAGATAGGATGTCTAGTTAGACTGTTAAATGCTTAGTCATGCTTATGAGTTTCTACAGGGTACATCTGGTCAAGATAACTAGAGAGAAAAGTTGATGACTGTCAGCAGACAGGGTGTTAATATTATTATAATGACGTGTATAACTGTAGCCTTAGCCATAATATGTTCTTATGTTTAAGTCACGACATGTTACTAGA